AGAACAATGAAACAGAAAAAGGAAAAAATTCGAGAGAAAAGAAGAACAGAGCGAAGGGAAAGACAGAGAGCGAAAGGATCAGTCATGTCGGCGTCTAGGCTCGTTCCGTCAACTTCGAGCAAAGTTAAGGGACCGTCGACTTTCATCTATTTAAGGGTATCCTCTATCACCCTCCTCGTCCCGTGGATCCCTCACAGGGCAAGGAACTTCATCAGCGCGTCGTAGATGAGCCGAGGATTGATGGTGCCGTCCGCGGTATACCGGACACCTCTCAACGAACCGTCATCGTGACTAACAACTCCGTATTCCCCGACAATAAAGCCATCCGGGGTTCTCTCTTCGACCCTGTACTTTCTGTAGTTCCTCCCTTCAACAACGTAACCAACTTTGTGCCCATCCTCAACTTCAGAAGCATTAGATGGTTCTGTGAGCATCAGTTGGGGGCCATGAACGTTCCCATTACTGCTGACACTAACAGACTCATCGACCTCATAATTCTGTTCATCGGGTTCTCCACTACGGTCGTGGTTCAACGGTTGACCCTCTGAATCGTACAGTTTGCTAGGTTCACTGTAGACCTTGGCTGGCTGCGAGTAGACCTTCGCAGGTTCAGAGTAAACCTTGGCTGGTTCCGAGTAAACCTTCGAAGGCTCCGAATACACCTTCTCCGGTTCACTGTACACCCTAGCAGGCTCGCTGTACACCTTGGCAGGCTCGCTGTAAACCTTAGCTGGCTCGCTGTATACTTTAGCAGGCTCACTGTACACCTTGGCCGGCTCTCCGTACACTTTCTCAGGCTCACCGTAGACCTTGGCCGGCTCGCTGTATAATTTAGCCGGTTCACTGTAAGCCCTAGCAGGCTTGTAGCTCTTCGGCGACTGGCTGTACACTTTGACCCCAGAACGATTATACTGAGAAGCATCGTAGTGCCTACCAGCTTTCCTCCCTTGAGCTTGCAACCGCTCGGATTGCATTTCAACTGGCTCCTCGTTGTATTCCTTAGGCTCCGAATTTTCCTCCGGTAGCTCATAATTTTCCTCTGTAGGCAGAGTGATCATATCCTCCGGAGTATTGTGCGAGCTAACGTTCACTTGTCGGTGCTCTCCGTTAATAAGTATGTGCCTGTTCAGTGGTCTAGGGGTCACCGAGCTCTGACCTTGCCAACTGGTGCTCGGCGAGCCCTCATCAACTGAGAATTCACTTCTATTCGACTCGGACACAATATTACTGATGTCCTCGGTGACGAAACTGGATGACGGTGCGGTTATGGTGGTCATCGTTCTAGGTGTGATCGTCGTGGTTGCTATCGTTGTCGCTCTCGTCGTCGAATTGTGAGCAGACATTTTCGTGTAGGATCTGGTTGTCGAACTATTCGACTCTTTAGAGGAACTGTTGGTTATATTCGGCAGACGGGCGACAGTCACGTCACTGTTATCATAGTGCTCCACTCTAACCTTGTACGGCGTCGCTTCGACAGTCGACGTCACGCTGACGCCAATCACCTTCTGTCTGCTGACGCCTTTGTTCGAGTTGCTTGTCGCGTTTGTCTTCGTTAGTGGCTTTTCTTGGGATGTCAGTGACGTGACCGTGGTAGACGAGCTTTGGGACGTCAGCCGCGTGGAGGATATGTCACTGTTGGTGCTCAACTCGTCGATCAACGACGCCAGGTTCTGCTGCCTGTTCTCCAGCGTCTTATGGCTGATTGGGTAGAACCGGACCACCTCTTCCCTACCGTTCGTGTTCCTCGCCCTAGGGACCACCTGCCGGTTGCCCGGGTTCCGCGATATCCGGTAGATCGACGCCTCGTGCTGGTGCGACTCCGCCGTCGCGCTATCCCCCGCTGGAGATGACGGCGACCCGTGACCACTGCTGCCGCCGCCGCGTCTGAATCCCCTGCGCCGCTGGGGCGGCGTCGCCATGGCGCCGTTTATGAAGACCGACAGGAATTCTGTGCCCGCGAGTATGTCGTTCCTCTTCGCCGGAGCGCCGGCTACTTCGTCCCACACCAGTGCCGCCTGCAGCAGTACCTGGAACACGGTCGCTCGTTCAATGGCATGCGGAAGCAATCTCGGGTATAAAGCGAGATGATGGAAAGTAATGCCGAGACGCTCTTAAAGTAATATCTTGGGTCCCTTAAAGTGAAGTTATAGTGCTTTTTTCTCGTGCCGACCCGACGTTCCGTTATCCCCCGCGACTTTTTGGTGGTCTTGTTGGATGGATGGAATGGGTCTCGTGGGAAACATCGCGTTTGGAGAATCTTGAGTTTGCGGCGATGATGATAGGGGTGCTGAATCAGGGTGGTTGGTTATAGGACTCTTGATCGTTGTGGTGCTTGCTTGTTCTAGGGTTGGGTTGTGAGTAAATTGTAGGTTTGTTTGTTGTGTTTCTGATTGGAGAACAGTTGGACTGGAGGATGTTTGAAGATGTTAAAGGTAATATTTTGTTCGAAATGTATTTCATAGGATGGAGACATTTTTTTGAATTCATGTTTCTATAGATTGGTCTATAATAATCTGTATCTTCGTAAAGATTGGCTGTTCGATTATGGATGGAAATATTTTTCTGTTACGGTTGTAACATATTTGTAACTTATAGCATACGTAAGAATAAGGAATGTGAAAGCGTTTAACAGCGTATCAACAGGTTCTTGAAATATATACAGTAATATTAATAGATTAATGAATGAATTATTGAAGTACAGCGATGAAAGCCGTACTGAGTTGCTAGAGATATGAAATACGGTTTCTTGTCATGAATGTTTTGCGAGCACGATCACGGACACTTAGAAAGACAATGAAACGAGCGTACAACGTCTCATTGCATAATTTACATTTTCCCCAGTTACCGAATTTTGGTTCCAGAAGGCAGTCACCTTGATAAAAATATCGAAGTTGATGATTCTATAAATTCTATAGTCACTTAAGATGTGACAGTAAAAATTTTAAACGCATACCCGCACGCACAGAAAAATCATTTGACTTTCTTTTCGCGTTCAGGTGAAAGGATTATCGATTTGTAAAATGTTACTGTCGTCAGGGAGACGGTTTCTTCTTAGCATAGACCCCGGAAACTACAGGCGCTGTTACTGTCATCATATTTTAAAGCCTCGAAGCTGTATACTCTATAATAAAATTTATATATTCCACAATATTGTTAAATTTATGATTGTTGAGTTATAAATTTCCTCGGAAAGTCGAGGCGGCAATAATACGAAGCTTGAATTAAAAATACGAGTTGAGGGTTCGGACATCAAAATCTACTTATCTGTTCTAATAAAATGGAGGTGAATAATTCAAACGCTTTTTCTCGTATCTTCCCCGTAGTGTGTTAAAGTAGATTGTTCAATAAAATGGCAAAAACATTCTTTTATGCCCGCTATAAAAATTTAATGGATAGATAACATGAATTTTCGACTAACAATTGCATGGTGAAACACAGCGTGTGGCATAATTATAAAAGTGACGATGTCTGATTGTAGAAAAAGAAACGAGAAACCTGAAATTACGCTTTTTATGCATTTTAACTACGAAGATAATTGATCTTAAAAGATTCTAAATTCTGTGGAACATTATTTGCTATATCTGATCATGACACGACATTTCACATTCAGTGCAGTGCAATAAAAATTAAGTAATATCATTATTGATACCCAGTATCAACTTCATTACAACTTACTATCCCGTCCTACAACACATACGCCACCACATAGCTCAAAAACAATACTTACGAACCTGATCTCAAATTCCAATCAAAATAAATCAATTCCAAATAATGCTGTCCTCGTCAGAACCGAACAAATGCGCTTTGGACGAACGTAGTCGCGAGCAATCGCCGGTTGATAATAAGCGGAATTTCTTGCGTCAGTGACCGTGTACAAAGAAATTAAACATACTCGAAAGAGGACATGAGAATGCGATAACTGGACCGCGGCTATGAAGCTGCATCAAACTGTCAACAATGTGCAGCTGATTGAACCGGTTACCACGGGGAACAGGCAATCAGCCGCTGACAGATAAATAGTTCATTAAGCGTCTAACTTACTGCGATGACTTTGATCGGTGAAATAACGAGGGCAGACGTGTCGAACGAGCGTCCGGACGCGGCGAAGAAAACCGTGCAGCATACCGAATCGCTGCGCGAGGCGTATAAAATATCAACAAAGTATAGCGGGGCAGTTCGAGACACGCGAAAACCATGGACAAGCTCTGCGAGGACACCGCCGGTACATGTCAGGCCGCGTTTATTTTTCAATCCGGCCGCGCGAACGATAAAACTGCCGTTTTTGGCGCACGAAGGCCGCGTCAGGTGCATCCATGCAATTTATAAATTACTCTCCGCGCGTCGCTTTTAAACTTTTCGGCTCCTGTTTCAGGCTTCCTGCCTTGTCATCTCCATCGAACCATCTCATTTCTCGCCGCTCAAATGACGAAAATGACACCGCGGGCCGGGCATTTTGGTTACCAAACTGGGGTCAACATGGAAATCGTGTTAAGTTAATTGAGGAAATTGTAAAAGGGACATTTCGCGTGGCTACGAGGCCGAGGCGCGCGTAAATAAGGCTAGTACCGTGAAAACAGTAAGACTGACATGTTTATAGAGTCTTAAAAAATTTATTGATATTCGAAAGGAGTTGGAGAAATTAAAGGAATTTTATCTTCCGACTGTAGACTAAACTTCACTCATAAATTCCTAGTTTATTATTTACTGGGTTTCATATCGGCGGGATGATATTTGATTTGTTTATTATTATTTCATTTGTGCATCTCCGTGATTTGATTGTTTTAATAATCCTGTTTGGTTTAATGGTTTGCCATCGTTCCCATGTTTTTCGAGTTTCAAGGTGACATGTTCTATAAAGGATAGAACGTATACTATATTTCCGTCTAAATGTACACGTGAATTGGTATTCGTACCAGGAAGACAAGTGAACGTTGAAAATTGTTGAGGATCCAGCTTAAATTTGCAAACAATACCGCTTCCTGTCGGGGCAGTCGAAAAAGTAAGAATCATTGCATCGGTGATCGAGCGGCTAGCAGGTGCGAAAGACATTAAACATGGCGCGAAGCGTTCAGCGTTGCAATCAATATTCATATATTCCAATGCTGTAAATTAAGATAAGTAATGACCTCAGCAGCGTGACTTTGGCCATGAAAATTTCAAGGTCGCGCGGAAAGATGACCTTAAAAATAAGGATTCCAATAAACATTAATAAACTCCCCTTGCTGTCTTGTCTATAAAAATGGTAATTTCAGAAGATACGTGTTAATTAGGCTTAAATAAAACGTTTTATCAAACTATACACGCGATGCTCATTAATATGATTAGCTATCAATCGCGGGTAAAAAATTGTTGTCGCACGAAGAACGAAGAGGTTTACATAAATTATGTTGTTATTGAGTGGGGAGACGAAAAAAAACGTTATCAAAGTTGTCAACGATCGTTCAAGCATTGTGCGTGATCGTATAAGAAAGGAATTTGCAAAATGCATCATAGCATTCCTTTGTTTCTGGGCTCTCATCGTTTTTATTACGACCATCTTTACGAGGACGACATTTATGGGCGTACAAACAGAAAAAACTCACGATTTTTTGGTCGCTGAAAGTCAGTTAACGTCGTCGGAAGAAATTCTCTTCAAGGAACCTTGCCGCGCGGCCGGCATTTAATGAGTTCCCGATTTTCTTTTATTCCTTTGTCACGGATGATTCAACAATGCCGTGGTATCCGCGCTATTTTAATTGAAAATCTTCCACCGCTAAATTGGAGTCATATCAAGATCTCTTTTTTTCATCTCATCTCCGTTTTCGTCGTTTCCCACAGCTTCACTGGCGCATTAATTGATTATCAGCGAATTTCATAATCTTTTTCATTCCATTACTTGATAAACTTTGGAACGAAAATTTTGATTTCGCATCTTTTGATCTTCGTGCAACAAAAAAGCATGATTTATCAACTCCATACTTCTCGGCTAACTCATAGACAGCTCTACCGAGTCGTAATCTCTTTAGTATCTTTTTGTATACGTTTCATTAACAAGACAACACATTTATGTATTATTACCTTTTTTTTATGAACGATAAATAGATTACTCGATAGAAACTTTAGTTTCAGATAAACAAGTATCTACATCATCACAAGAATTTTTGTTTTCACTCCATTCTCCAAAAACCGCTTCACTAAAATCGATATTTGCGTCACGATTCTCAGACTAGTAATAATTCGAAGACGCCATGTGCAGCAATCAATTCGCAGCAGTAGAAGAAATAAATGAAGCGTTACGAAATGAAAACATTGTATGTTAATACATATATCTCTTCCTTATTGGTTAGACAACACTGATTCACTATTACCCGAGTGTTCCGTTAATGGATGGCCGCGTTGATGGGTGTCCCGGGGAAACATGCAAATTATTATCGCATCTACCGTCGAATCGGTCATACGGCCGATTGACTTGCAGCGACGGCTCTTGAAGGAGCAGTTGCGTTTTATTCGGCCGGGTGGAATAAAGATAAGGAATTGTATTTAAAGTGCGGTACCCAGGCGTAAAAGTCGGCGGATCGTTTGTTCGAGCTGACGTAATCAGCGTCGGCGACCTTCCGCAAGATTGCAAAAATCCGATTCAGAGCGCTTTACGGCGACCGAACGGCCCCGGACGACACGTTGAAAAACCGGCAGTAAAACCGGGGCTCGGTGGGTACGAGCCTCCTTAAATTATTAACGGCACGACATTCAGCGATCCCGTATCGCGAGTAAACATTTTTAAGCTTTTTTCTTTTTGCCCTACGCCTCCTTTCTCCCATTTCGTTGTCTTCCGACGCCGGCGATCACATAATAACAGCGTTAAATCGAGCTTTTACGCTTCGCAGAAAGCGCTCGCCTTAACGTTGCGAAGTCTTTGCCACGAACAGTTTTCAAAATTTGTCCAAAGTATTTTTCTAGAACGAAAAAATTCGTTTAACAGAGAATGTCGGAGTGGTATTAATTCTTGACCGTATTTTGGCGGAAAGTCGGTGCGAGAATATTTATTTAA